TGTAAATTTAGCAGCTTCAAGCAATGCTCATTTATTAGCTTACAGTTCTATAACTCAGAAGTCTGACACAGCGTGACTAGGTTCTCAGCTCAGTCTCTCACAGGATGAAACAAGGTGGTAGTGAAGCTATATCCTAATCTGGAACATAGGGCCCTTTTCCAAGTTCATATGACTGGCAAGATTCAGTTCCTTGCAGTTTAGGATTATGATTCCTATGTTCTTACTGGCTGTCATCCAGAAGCTGTACTAAGGACCTAGAAGCTGCCCTCTTTCCTGCCATGTAAACTACTGGTATTCAAAGTCAGTAACAGAAAATCTAATGTTTAATCACCCTGACTGCACAAGTGTCTTACCAGAAAGTGCCCTATTCTTTTTAAGGCCTCATCTGATTAGGTGACGTCCCTCAACCTCAAAGCCATCCACGCTTAAAAATTCATCTGCATTGTGACCTTAATGACATCTGCTTAGTCCTTTCACAATAGCACTTAGATTCATGTTTGACTAAATAACTGGGGAAAAACACTATAGTTAGGTATTCGGGGTATGTGTGTGTGTATTGGGGGGAGTCCACCTTAGAAGTCTACCAATAACAGAAAGTGGTTATTTTATGTTCCAAATTTTATGCTGAAATTTGGAAAGAAAAACATCTGTAAGGCTTTGCAAGCTGACCACCCCCACCTTTCCCCTGCTCATAGATGAAAAGGCCTCTGTCTTGAGATATCAAGGAAGGAGACTGGAACAATGCCTAAAGGTCACAGAGAAACTACAGATAATCACATCTAGTCCTTCTGAGAGGTACACCATTGAACCTGATGTGAAAAATATTTCTCTGGTGCTCTACAGACAGCCTACTAGGTGTTTGGTGACACAGGCTGAAAAGTGAATTTTCTATCAGATAATAGCAAGAGAATTCACACATTATGTCAGGTGTTCTGGCCTCCTAAATAGTAGGTATGCAGGGACAGGGAAGTATCTTGTCAATGACCTTTCTTGTCACTGCTCTGAGCTAAAACTGAAAGCAACTTGTTAATCCGTTAACTGTTAGAGCAGTTTATCTTTACTGTCTTTTATTCTCCTGGTTTCCCCACTCAATTTAAACAAACCAACAAGTGTCTCCCATAAGATGGGGGCTGGTAGGCCTGTATCTCATCTGGAAGAGTTAGATCTGACTCTGGGGCTCAGGTGCAGTCAGCAGGAGGGGCATGGGGGCGGCCTTCGTGGAAGAAAATAAGGCCTTGGGCATCGAGTAACAGCTGAGACTAGCAAGCCTCATTGTACAGCACCCAAGTCATCTAGCAACATGTTGGCCTCTGCTGCAAAGAGAGAACAGAGGATCCTATGGCAGAATGAATGGAATCTGATTTCAATTACGTTTTGTACAGTCACCCTCTTTAGGCAGAGAGGCCAGAACACCTGGTGCAGCTGGGACCACTGTGGCCACAGAAGCAACATATTACCTAGTTCATGGAGGCAAGTGGTAATGTGACTTCTCTTCCTCAAGCTGATGCCATATAAGTCCCAGAGGAGGAGGATGTGAAAATACCGGCCAAGATCTCATTAGCACTATGCAGAGAAGAAGGATTATTTCATCTTGATGGATTCTCGCCACAGTCTCTGCACATATTGATCTTGCTTGTAATGAGTTTGCTTAGGTCCAGGAGTCATCACCCCACTGAGATCTGAGTCATTGGCAGGAGAGTCGAAGTGACAAGACGTACCTCACTGATTGCACCAGTAACAATTGCTTTGTGTGTCCCTCCACCTTTTGAAAAAGCCCATAGATTCATCTGTATAAAATTCATTTGGATTCTTTTATTCATTTTTCAATAGCATGAATAGGGCATATCAAAAGGGACAGCTGCCCCAGAGAACAGTTTAGATTTGCAGGACTATTCCATAGAGCTTTCTGAAATGATGGAAATGTTCTGTATATGTGTTGTCCAATGTAGTAGTGACTAGCCACTAGCATGACTTTTGAGCACTTGAAATGTAACTAATGAGACAAAGAAATTGCATTTTCATTTTTTCTTTGATTTTAATTAATTCAAATTTAAGTAGCCATATGTGACTAATAGCAACTGTGCTGGCAATGCAAATCTATAAATAATGCTAGGAGACAGGCATTCTGATATAGTAAAAATGAGTTAGTCAGAAAAGCCCCTGTGGCACAGGGAATTCTGAATTAGAAAGAAGAGCCCTAGTTCTAGTTTCAACTCTGTCATTAGGGTAACCTCACCTATCTGGCCTCATCCTCCCCACCATTGACTTGAAAGGTTAGATTAGTGTGAGAAGTCATAAGCACTGGATTCAACCTTTGAATACAGATGAGTTTCAGGCAAACTTTTAAATATTGTATGAATGCCTTCTAGGTGTGTGTGTGTGTGTGTGTGTGTGTGTGTGTGTGTCCCACACATGTGCATGAACTGAAGTGAATGGCTTCTTGCCTTCCTGCTCCTGCCCGTCGCACATGTGTGGCAAGGGCAGGAAGGCAGGAAGCCATTCACTTCAGTTCAGCAGAGTTCCCACCATTCTCTTTCTCACTCATACACAAATACACAAACACACATTTCACTGCATTACCTGGGTATGTCCTGAAGATACAGTGAATCTATAACCTTTTGGGTGAGATTATTTCTTAGGATCCTTTCAGTTTTATTATGTTGTAAATCTTTTGGCCATGGTGGTACCCAAAACCTGCTTCTATACTATTCTTATAGTTGGTTGCTTTTTCCCATCTGAGATTAATGCTAAATACTGGAGTTGGAAGTCAAGAGTAAGAATGAAAGGCTTGGAAGATATAATCCCAGCCCCACTCCTCAACTCTGCTGTTAGGCGAGAGGTAGAGTTCGGGGTTTTAGGTTCCTTATGGTATTAAATGTTGTAATGTATTCATGAGTAAGGCATGTAAAAGGCCCTGGAAAATACTTCCCCTTATTTTTCTTAGTTATCTCAGGTATAAGATTGATTATGTCTCTGTCTTCTACCAGGCTAGAAAGGGGTGGGGGGAGGTACATGGTTTGGCTACTGCTCAAAACCAGAAAGTACCAGTGATGGGGAAGTAGAGATCTACCTCTAGAACCTCCCAGGGAAGAATATCCAGGAGATTCTGACAGCCTGTGAAGTTGTCTACAAAGAACTCATGTCAGCAGTGGTTTCATAAGACAAGATACTGCCTCTGGCTCTGGGAAAAGATGGTGGTTGCACAGCTCATACCTTCCAACTACTGCCTTTGGTGGGAGTTGACTGTGGGTGGGAATATTTCCTTATTACTGACTTGTCCAAGTCCTGTAGAAATTACTGTTGGATAAAGTCATGTTGCACTCAGAGTTGATTTCCCAAGTTTCAGCCTAGAAATGCTCCTCTTTGCACCACCAACTCTGTCATTTCCTCCCCATTTTACACTAGTTGTTTTTCCAGGCATGATCCATTCTTGTCTTGATTTACTGAGTTGCATTATGAATGAAGTTTGCATTAGATTTATTTCTCTGCTTAGAACTAACATTTGGTTCTAGAAAAGTACCTTATATTGCAGAAGCCAGAAACAGATGAGCAACAGTTCTTGTTGTATATATTCATTTTAATTGAGCAATCTGATTCTCAGTTTTGTACTTCTATTTGTTGTTGTTCTTATTATTTTAAAAGGATTAGACATAAAGTGATTTATGGTCTTCTCCATTTAAACTGTCTATAATAGACCTCAGGGTTGTGACCTTTTCAATTATTTGTATTTCTGCCAATATGAATGTTGGGGAAATAGCACAAAATTAACATCAAGATACTAACTTCTAAATTGTGTGTGGGGGGCCTCCCCTGGTGGCCTAGCGGTTGAGCGCTGGGCTGCGAAGCTGCCCACAGCCTCTGCAGCGCAGGTTAGATCTCTGGCCACTGGTGTGGGTCCCACATGGTGCGCAGACCTCTCCTGCTGCCCGCTCCTCCCCTCAGCAGTGTATTTCATCAGTCTGCCTTTTCTGCTCCCCGCTCTGGCTCTGGTGAATTCTCTCACCCTCCCTCCCACGCTTCTGACTGTACCCAGTGCTTGTATACATGAATAAATAAAATCTTAAAAAAAAATTAAATAAATAAATAAAGTGTGTATGTAAACATGGGGAAAAGATGGTTCTTAAGGTTTGAGTTTTGGATTATTGCTGATTTAAATAATGTTAAGAAAATGTTATTTCTATCCTATTCAATGACTACCACCTAACGTGGTTCCCATTTGGTAGACAGATTTTAGAGGCAGGATTTGTTATTACTTTGATGCTGTTGGATCTTTCAAACTTTTTCCTATCTACACTCTCTTTTGATAATAAATCAATTTGTGTGTTACAGTTCATATATGGGTATAATGTCTGACAATATTTGAGGCTATTATAGTGGTCAATGGGAAATACTGAAACAACAGAAAAGTCCCGCTTGTTGAGCCCAAAAGTAGTGGGATGATAGAATTTAGTATCCTGAAGATGGAAAGGGATATTCAAGTCCATTTTATTAACCTCATTGCCATCAGATGCTTGAAATCCTAGCTATTGTGCATCTAATCTGTTTCATCATCTCCAGTGACATGAGTGCCTGAAAACCTTTCCATCTTCAGAGTTTTAACAACCAAAATGTGTGTGTATGTGTATGTGTGTGTGTGTGTGTGTTTGTATGTCTTGAGAGAGAAATAAATCCAAATTGATGTACTTTTATAATTTCTGGTATCCCTAGGAACATAAACAATAAATGTAGCCCTTCTTCAACAGGTGTGCATTTCAAGCATTTTACCCTAACAGTCACTTAGACATGCCAGGTAGACATAAATACATAATTTACTTGATTTAAAGCATTTTGTATTTGCCTATCACCTGTAATTAAGATAAAACATAAATTTCATAATATAACATACATACTCCTTTAAAATCAGGCCCCAGTTCTTTTCCTCCTTGGCTGCCTGAAGATCTGTTTCCATCATAAATTACACAGTAACTACATAGACCAGGAAGTTCATGACTAATGGACTGTTTCAGTGGAAACAAATGGTCACTGATGTCCTTCACCCTGGGAAGGCAATAGGACCTAATAGAGAAATTTGGACGAAACTAGCTAAAATGTACAAAACCTCGTCAGATGTCATCTTTGAATTTGGATTCAAAATCCATTTTTTACATGGCAAAACACCTGCCTTTGGCATAATTTATGACTCCTTAGCTTATACAAAGAAAAATGAACCCAAACATAGACTTGTAAGATATGGCCTGCATGAGAAGAAAAAGACCTCAAGAAAACAGCAAAAGAAACACAAGAACAGAATGAAGAAAATCAGGGGGACTACAAAGGCCAATGTTGGTACTGGGAAAAGTGAGCTTAAGTTTGGACAACAGAAAGAGTAAATATTCTGCAGTGACTTTATCTGTATCTGTGGTGACTATGCAGATTTGTCATGAGAGGATTTATTAAATCTTATATGTTTCTGGCTGTTTGAAAATAAATAAATAGATAGATAGATAGATAGATAAATGCAATAAAATCTAGTTCACATCTTTGTTTCCAGCTTCATAAATAACCACTTTCCTCACCCATGAATTTGTGAACTGTTGTTCACATTGGTCTCAAACTTTTCTCCCAAACACTCTTCATTGCCATTTTGTATGCACTTTCAATCACTTTCTCTGTTCAAGGTCTAGATTAAATGCCATCATAGGGCTTTCCTGGTGGTGCAAGGGGTTAAGCACTGCACTATGAAGCAATCAGCAGCCTCTGTAGCATGAGGTTGATTCCCAGCCGTCCAGGGAGAAACACACATGGTGAGGCAGACCTCTCCTGTCTTGCCCGCTGTTCACCTCAGCAGTGTATTTCAGTCAATCTGCCTGTTCTGTTCCCCACTCTGTTGTGGATCCTCTCACCCCCCGCATCTCTGGCCTGTACCCCAGCTCTTGTATGCATAAATAAATAAATCTTTAAAAAATGTCATCATAAAGCATTTCCTGACTCTGCCTATGCACAGAGATTTTCGTCTTCTATTGTTTACATCTCCGTTGTAGCATTACAAGTTTGATATTATTCATGGACATTTATTTCTCTTTTACCAGACTGGTAAGTGACTTGGGGCCTTTCTGCACCCAATAGCAAAGGCCTAATAAAGTATGTCTGTTAAATGAATGAGTAAATGAATATATGAATCATTAATACATTATTAATGCATTAACAAATAAATTGAAGGTTCATCATATGAACACGGAATATTACATTTATGCAGAGCCCTATAAAGTTATATGTAGTCTGTCTAGCAAAGAGATTGGGAAAAGTCAAGATATGAAAGTTTGAGTTTAGTTTGGATTTGGAATGATAATTGAACCAGTGTATGAACTGAGTACTTTTCTTTAGGAAGTTTAGAGTCTGTCACAAGAGAGAATGGGCATCTTTATTTTCTTAGTTCAAGGAGCATTTCTAACAGAGTCACTGTACTGTGTGATTTTGGCTACTGATAATAAATCCAAGTTTTCCATCCTTCCCAACAGCTCGGAAACTGAAGAAACTTGGTAATTTGAAACTACAGGAGGAAGGGGAGTCTTCCAGTGCCACTAGCCCCACTGAGGAGCCAACTCAGAAGCTGACAGTGTCACACATTGAAGGCTATGAATGTCAACCAATCTTTCTGAATGTCCTGGAAGCCATTGAGCCAGGTGTGGTATGTGCAGGACATGACAACAACCAGCCCGACTCCTTCGCAGCCTTGCTCTCTAGCCTCAACGAACTGGGCGAAAGACAGCTTGTACATGTGGTGAAGTGGGCCAAGGCCTTGCCTGGTAAGGAAAAGGGTTGTGAGGGCATGGGGTAAAGAAAATCACATTTCGTGAATTTCCCTACAGATGAGGTACCATAAATGATCTTTTCCTGTTCATTAACTCATTGCAGACCTCACCATAACCCTATGGGGGAGAGATTGGTATGCTCTCTTTTTAAATACATGGGAACTGAGACTCAGAAATCAAGGAAAAGAGCTAGAAGAATTATAGAGCATCTTGTATACTTCACATTGGAATATAGCAATCATATGTTCATGTTCAACCCACAGGCACATAGCCACATCCTTATATGTCTTAAGATACTTTATTCTAAATGTGCATGCATAAACCCACCCTAACAATAATGATCTTGAATCTCACTAATTTTCTGAATTCAATATCATCTTTAAGAACCATACTATAAAATCTCTTATGGTATGGTAGAAAGAACATGAGGTTGGGAGTCAGAACACTTAGTTTCTAGTGGTAGCCTTGCTGATAATTCCTTTCCTGGGTCTCAGTTTCTCCTCCTGTATAATGTATGAAATGATTTGCACTAAATTAATGGTTTTCAAATTTTGCTTCAAGGAACTCTTAGTGTTCTTTAAATTACTTTAAAAATCAAAGTGGGAGGAAATATTAGGTCATAGTGAAAGAAATACAGTGTGTTTGTCTAACTTGTGCTTAGCCATCTCCAGTGATAGGGCCCTCAATTAATTCCTATGCCATCTGTTGTTTGAGCAAATCTAATTATTATTAATGGGCACTATGGTTGTGGGAGAATTATAGGGACTACACCTGAGGGGAGAAATCAAATACTGTACAAATTAACAATGATGTAAGAAAATGAATACAAATAAATAAAATTAAATGTTAAAGAAACCTCAGAGATCCTCTACTGAAGGATTCATAAATGTTCCTTTAACAGACAAACTCCAATTCTCAGAAATATCATATATATACATAAGTGGATTTGAATGATTTAAAACCAGTGCCTCTCCCTCACTGCCCCAGAGAAGTCTCAGATCACTCTTGTGGAACCGTAGGACTCTAGGAAATACAGTTTGGAAACTACCGAAGCATAAGTTTTTTTTTTTTTTAATTTATTATTTATTATTATTTTTAATTTTATATATTTTGCATCATTTTTCATTTTTGCACAATGTATGCATTTTCACCTTGGTTATAGTCCCCATACAATTCCCACCCATCCTAGTTTTGATCCTACTACCTCCTCCCCCGCTGTAGTGTGTCTTTGGTTTATAGTTGCTTAATTTTGATTTTACTTTATTATAATTAATCTTTTTCCTGATCCCTTATTTAGGTCTTCTAAATTCCTGCTAGGTATTTACCCAAAGGACACAGAAACATTAATTCAAAAGGGCATTTACACCCCTATGTTTATATCAGCACTATTTACAATAGCTAAGCTATGGAAACAACCCAAATGTCCAAAAATAGATGACTGGATCAAGAAGATGTGGTACACATACACAGTGAAATATTACTCAGCAATCAAAAAAAAAGATAAACTCATGCAGTTTGCAGCAACATGGATGGAGTTCAAAGCATAAGTCCTTTATGGGTTTGTCTGGTCTTGAAATTCTGTGATTCAAAGTTTCTTTTGTAACATCAACAGCCAAACCTCTTCTTAAGAATCCAGAGTAGGGCCATCCTGGTGGTGCAAGGGTTTAAGAGGCAACCTATGAAGCTCTCCACAGCCACTGCAGCACTAGTTCAATCCCCAGCCTGGGAGCTGACCCACCTGGCATAGCAGACCTCTCCTGTCTCACATGCTGCTCCCCTCAGCAGTGTATTTCAGTCATTCCATCTGTTCTGTTCCCCACTCTGTCTCTGGTAAATCCTCTCTCCCCCATGCCTCTGTCCTGTATCCCAGTTCTTGCATGTATAAATAAATAAATCTTTTAAAAAAAGAAGTCAGAGTAATAATAACTACCATCGAAATGGAAACTTGTGGTGAACATAGTAGTTCCTTATGTATTACTTGATTTGATTCTCATAAGAATCCTTGAAAGTAGGGAATTTTTTTCTATATTTTCTAGATAATGGCCCTGAAGCTCTGAGAAGTGATGTGTTTGGCTTATATTTACACAACCACAAAGGGACATATTTAGAACTTGAGCACAGATCCTCTCCTGATTCCAAATCTCCTACTCATCGCATTTACCCATAGTTTGTTTAGTACCCCCTGTACTTCTGTAGCCCTGGGCTTTACAGTGAGAGGTCAAGGCATTATCCAGTGTCATTTGGGTCACAGTGTAGACTTGCTGCCTTTGAAGACAATGCATGCTGTCTTTTGACTTCCTCTGTTATCTTTCTAGCTCACAAGGCCTAGTTGAGTCACTAAACCTTCCCTAACAACCCCCCTGCTTGGAAAGCTGAGATTTACTAGATATTAACATTATTGGAAAGAAGACCAAAGAACGCTAGTTGTGTATACACTGCACCAAAACATAAAATTCACACAAACAGGAAAAAAGAAGGGAAACTTTTTTTTTAATTATTACCACTTATTCACCCATCTGGATATCTTGATGTTATATGTGTAACGGATTTAGTTTTATCTTTCTAAACAGTTATCAATCACTTAACTTGTGACATTTTATAGGATATAGGAAAAAAAAATATATATATATATAGTTCCAATTAAACCTCTTGTGAATCATAGGGATGTATCTACATTTCAAAGGACAAGGCTCAGAGAGGTTAATTTGCTTATTTTTTCATCTGGTTATTTAATGACCTCCTTCCCCCTGATTTCTAGTTTGGTGTTCAACATAGTGAGAAATATGATGACAGAATTTGTATGAATGGAGGGAGTGGGCCACAGGCTTTCCTCAACCCAAACTTCAGGATGTATTCCCCTTTCCTATGTATTATATTAGCACAAGTTGGAAAGTCAGTATCAGCTCACCACCGAGCTCATCCATGGAGATGATTTCTGGGGCATTTAAAATAATAGCTTCAAAAAGAATTACCACAATCATACTTTCCATATTATCAATAATCATATATTACTTCAAATTACTTGTTTATTCAACAGATTGAGTTCCTTCTTATTAAGACACTGTGCTAGGAACTTATTCAGATTAATTTGTTGTTTTTTGTTACATGTAAATTTCCTAGTATACTGACTGGTACATAAATTTAGGATCATATTAATTGAGAGAGGGTGAATAGATTGTGCGTACACAGTATATTTATAATCACATATATCTGTTTGGAATCTTAGCTATGTGCACTAGTTGTGTAAGCTTGAGAAAATCATATGTTTACATGTACTTCTGTTTCCTCATATGCAGAGATGGTAGAATAGTCACTGCCTTGCAAATTGCTATCCATACAGAGATTATGTGTAAAAACCACCTAATACAGCAACTGAAACATAGCGGATGCCTTTAAATGGTGTGTTATTATTGTGAGGTTTGAGTGCTAATTTACTGCTTTCAGTGAAATTGATTTAAGTTGCCACCAGTCTTCCCTAGATGTCTCAAGTACAAGTCATTGTCTTTTAAGACCTTGACTGTCAGGTGCACTAGAGAAGCAATGATTTCCTAATGACATTGTCTGGGCATGTTCTCCCAAACTAGACATGAGACTACAGATTTCAACTGTAGATTGCTAAGAAATTATGCCAATTGGTTTCTAATGAGATAACAGTCTCAAAGAAACTGCCTCTGCTCCCTAACCTACTTGGTGTGTTTCAAAACCTGAGAATGACTCCTCTGCAGTTCTCCAGAATAGCTTAACACAATGCCAAATAGGTGTTGGGTGAGTGTGTACTGAAGGAAATCTGTTGGAGTTATTGTTTTTTCAACTCATCACTTGATAGTAATGCTATCTGAGCAGGCTACTTCAAAGATGGGCACTAGAGAACATAATTAGATATTTTAATCAGATTAGACTTCAAGAAAAATTAACCTACCATGTTGCTGATGTGTACATAGTAATTAGACTTGAATTTTAAGCAGCTCTCACTAAGGACCATTTTTTACCATTATAGTCAAACTAAGCTTTCCCTTTTTCCTCCTCTTTGTTGGTTTTCTGGAATCTAAGGGTGGCAGGAAAGCATCAGCATCGCCAGCTTCTTTGGTACTTTTATAGTTTGACACTTATTTCCCCTATGTACCCTCTTATCCACACACTCAACAGACTAACCATTGCCTCCTAACCCAGATGTTCAAAGTCTGTCCTCCCAGGTCCTCTCCCCAAGACATCTTGGATGTTCTATTTTAGGATCTTGCTTTTGGTCTCCTACAGGGAAGAATCAGTCCCAGGCATTCTGTGCTCCAGAAGCAATTCAGGAGGAAATTATCTGTGGTCTGAGGTGATGGCTAATGTGGTAGCACATTATTGTGGTGAAGATGGGTGGCACAGGCTTGGGAAATAAGATTGCAGCAAGAGGTGTTGTTATGAAGAACCCTAGAATTCCTAATGTCTGAGAGGCTTGGAAAAGGAAAGGAAAATGGATGTGTGTGTGTGTGTGTGTGTGTGTGTGTGCGTGCGTGTGTGTGGGGGTGGGGGCAGGGACCAACCAAGCAGAAAATATGTCTAGGTAGAACAATCTGGTGGCCTTGGAAGATCTTTATTTTTTAATTATATTTTTATTGTGCTAATATTGATTTGCCACACTGTGTATGATTTAAGGGTGTAGGTTCAAATCTCTTCAGATGTATGTTACCAATACCACACCAACCTTCATAGTTCTTGAGCAGTGGCCTTCAAACAATAGAGTGGAAAAATCAATGGAGAAGGAATTAAAAACATCAGGGTTCCAGTCTTAGTCAACCACATGATTGACTATATGTATATGATTTTTGACTATATGTATATGATTTTTGAGAAGCCAGTTAACTTCTCTGAACCCCGGGTTCCTTGCTAGGAAAACAAACATCCCATTGACTACCATCCAGCTTTATTGTGAGGATTATATGAAGTCATTTATAGTAAAGTCAGAAAAATACGTAAATTAGGAAATATTCCTAATAAGGTATAGCAAGAGAAATTTTCAGTTTATTCTGGATCTGTTGGGGTAAGGAGAAATGAGGTACTGGTAGGGGATGAGCTCTGAGGTGATACCTTAAGCATCCAAATGTTTGGAAACCAACAAGAGAACATAGCCCTGTCTATTCTGCATGTAATATATTGTGTTGTGTTGTATTGGCAAGATCTGTGATCCTCTGTTCTAAGCCTAAAGGTTTGGAGATCAGAGGTTTTCTAATCCCTGTTTTATGAAATGAAAAATTATCAAGGGAAGGGTCCTAAGGCCATTTAATTATTTCTTAGAAGCTACTCAGATATCTCAATTGTGCTATGTACTAGGGAGGGAGAATGAGTAAGAAGAGATAGTCCCTGTCTTCAAGAAGCTCCAAGTCTTGTGAGGGAGACAGATGTATACATAGACAAATTCCAATACTATGTAATGAATGATTGAGCGAGGTTACACATGATTCAGTGAGAAAAAATAATTACTTCGACGAAGACCTGACTGATGAGTAAGTATTTATCAGATGGAAAACCTCGGGCAGGAGAAATGCATTCTAGACAAAGGCAACTGCCTGTGCAGTGGTAACAGATATATAGTGGTGAAAGAAAGGATGGTGCATTCAGCAAACTTACATTTTTCAGAATAGTTCAAACCTCAATTATGAGAAGACAAGTAGCAACAAATTAGTCTAAAGAGAACATAAAGGGCCTGTTTGTATATAATGATAGTAGGACAGGAATGGTAGTAGAGCAGGAAACTAGCAAAGGTAGGGTACATGTTGAACAGAATGAACAGAGAAGAGTAGAGAGGAAGTGGGAAGCATGAAGAGGGTTAGAGAAAGGATACAGCCTGAAAGTGGTGTGGAAAAGGCAGTGGCTGCTGTGAAAGGCAATTCTAGTGTATATATATATATATATATATATATATATATATATATATATATATATATATATATTCTAATGTGTAGTAATAACATTCCCCCCAGGGTTGTTAGAAGTGACAAATAAGATTATAGCTAGAAAAAGCCTTTTTGAAGTGAAAAGTGCTGTTCATGTCAGATGAATTATTATTCAACTGCTTATGCCGAAAAAACAGAGATCAAGAGCATGGACTTTGGAGTCAGACTGCTTGGCTTTGGAACTTGGTCTTGCTGATTTCTAGCCTTATACTCTTAGATAATATATTCCCTTTTAATGATTCATAGCATGGGGATAATAATGGTACCTACTTTATTGTATTGTGAGGATTAAATGAGTTAATCTAAGTTAAGTGCTTAGAAGAGTTCATTCGTACAAAACAGTCAGTGTTAGATTATTATTCTCTTCCAATTTGCAGTGCCCATTTGACTCCATCATTGGAGCAGCTCAGTGTAGCAAAGAGGACAAGGAATCTATCCCCTCATATAGTTTGTTCTTTCCCCTGCTCCCCAGCATTGATGGTTCCTAAGACTCCTCGGGAGCTATCCTATTACCAAAGATTCTCAGTCTAGCAGAGGCCCAGATTTAGCTCAGCCCAACAATGCCCAATCTGACTACTGCTTCCTACTCACCTCCAGGCTTCCGCAACTTGCACGTGGACGACCAGATGGCAGTCATTCAGTACTCCTGGATGGGGCTTATGGTGTTTGCCATGGGCTGGCGGTCCTTCACCAATGTCAACTCCAGGATGCTCTACTTCGCCCCTGACCTGGTTTTTAATGAGTAAGTGCTCATGGGCCCAGAGCTCACATAAACACAACCTCCTGGCCATGTTGGTTGGTAATGGTAGTAACAGTGGGAGTTAACCCATTTGACCTGTCAGGAAGCCAGTAGAGGCCTCAACAAGTCTGCTGTATCTGAGGTGGCTATGCTCTGCTGATGAAAGGTCAACCAGTGGGAGGCAAGGGAGTTAGTACCGAAGCCATCCCTTTCCCACCCAAGGCCCAGCCCTGATACTATAGCTCTCTAACTTGCTTTGTAACGTATCTTAGAATCCCATGTAAGTTTCCTCCCCTCTACACTGCGCAACATAGAGATGGTAGTACGTGGGCTAAAGTTCCTTTGATCAATTTTTCTACCACTGAGGCCACTTGCTGGTCACCATTTATGCCAGACTATCCTAGATACTTTCTGAAACCTGTCTTTTTGAGTCCTCCTGATAGTTTGATTTCCTCCACTTTATTAATAATTATTTTTAATGGATAGGGAAAATTGGGTTTAACAAAATAAAGTGACTCATCCAAGGTCACACAGCTACTGCATGTTGGCAATAATTCTAAGTATGTCTGTTTAACTCCCAGTTCTTATACTGCCTCATAGTGGTAAGTTATGGGGAGGAATAACTCCACAACTCTCTGGCCATGTCTCTTCGACCCAACTACTTCCTCTCTCTTAAAAGCAGGTATAATTATGCTTTCTCTACCACCAGCTCTTCATATTTCATACTTCATGAATAAGCAAGTTTTGGAATTATACTTTATTAAGTAAATCTCAGTTCTGGTGTTCCCTACATCATTTCTTTGGGCCAGATTCTTAATTTTCCAGACCTTTAGGTTCCTCAACTGTTAATTAAGTAGTATTTTTTAATTGTTTATGAAAACTAAAATGGGAGCTAACTGATGTGAAATGTCAGGCTGACAAAGGCGAGAAATTATAAAATGAGTACCTTTCTGATACCATCTTTTCTTAATAGGGATAATCTTCACTAGGTCCACAGTTTGAGGTCCCTTGATGGTACTGTGAATGGAGCTGGCTGAAAAAAAATCTTCCCATGTACCTTTAGTTAGTCTCACTACAGAGAATCCATTTGGTTACCAAAGGAATTGCTCTTTTCTCTTCACTTGTCCTCCAACACTGAAGAGCCTTAAAATCTGGGCCAGTGATTCCTTTCAGGACAGTAGTGCCATGTGGGAAGAATGAGTGTCCCCAACTGCCTTCTTCCAAATTCACCCTGGTAGCAAGAAGCTAACAACAATCTTTGGATATTGGCACAACCTGCCTTGTGATTTCCAGATCTCCAAAGTGTTACCTATGATGCCATCTTCTAAGGCAGGCCTTGAAAAGCTCTCTTCCTATTTACTTCCCACTACCCTTCAATGATTGAATCAACTCCCTGAACACATACAGCACCCTCCCCACTCAAAGCCCTGAGACCTTGGAACCTTTTTCTAGTTGATAATTATTTTCTAAATCCTCACTTCTTTCTCTGCCTCTATGTAAGTATGTGTTACCCCACTAAGTATTCTGACCTAACCTATGTATCTCATTACAAGGAACCACAGGACTCCCCAAAGGGTAAGGGTCATATACCCATGATGTCCAGGGTTCCTAAAATAATGGGTACCCCCTTTTCTGCTTATATAAGAAACTACTGTGTTGGAGCTCTTAGGTTCCCTAGAAACAGCTAAACCAATGTTTCCCAACAGATGCTGTTAATACTTTGGGAGGAATATTTTTTCACTGTTTAAGATGTTTCTGAATATTGGAATATATTTGTCATCCCTGACACCTGCCAATAAATATCAACCAGGATCCCAGTAACTATGACTGCCCAAACTGTACACACATTTTTAATACTCATGAGGGATGCAATACCTTTCCATTTGAAAATCAATTATTGCTGCAGTTAGTCTCCTCAGCTACTAATGGGAAGACTTGAGGCCCAGGCCCAAAGAGAGAAGAAGGGACTCTGGGCCAGCTCATTTGCTAAACTCTGACACCAAAAGCCATCATCAGCCCTGTCTTTTTCCCTCCCTTCTTTGTGGAGAGCATATGTTGTGAGGGAAATGGACTTGAATCCTAGCTGTGTGACCTTGGTAAATTATTGAGCTTCCCTGAACCTCACACTCCTCATCTGTTAAATGATGAACAGTATCACGGTGACACCTTCCTACATGCTATTTATTGAGTACCTACTATGTGCCAGGCAATGTTACTCGTGTTTTCCAATTTTCTTCGTCCCTCTCTTTTATTCCCACCTACGTCTTCTGTCTTATTGAATTCCATCCCTGTCCTTTGTTTTCTACCTTCCATTCTCTCCTTTCTCTTCCTTTGCATTTTGTCCTTTCTCTCTACTTGTTATGTTCCTTGCCTTTCTCTGTTCCTTTCCCCCACTTTCTTTGTCTCCAGGACCTATAGCAGTATTATAGAAATCCTGCATGAATTCTGTGCTGTTATCAATGAAGGCTTGGAAAAACAATAGGCTAGGCCCCAGCAGATCTTATTTAAAAATTCCCTAGGATGAAAGAACTTGGAACAGCACTGTTCTGGTCAATTGGCTTGTGATAATATATAAACACTTCCTATTTCTTGTTGAGTTACAGTTTGAATTGATTATATGTTCACTATCTTCCACCTTCCCCCTTTTCCCAGGCCAGCTAATAACTCACTGATGTAGGGTACTGAGCTTCTACTTAGTCAGTACAAAGCATGCTCAGATTGTGGACAGGGATATTGCTCTGGGACCAAAGGGTCAAACCACAGCCTTCAGGCCCAATCTGGAGGTATTTTCCTCACCACTTAAGTAGATTTCAAATTTCCTTTCCTTTCTCCACAAGAAATAAAATCAATTTCAGTCTCTTCCTTTCTTCCTTTCTCTCTCTCTCTCTCTCTCTCTCTCTCTCTCTCTCTCTCCCCCCCCCCACCCAGCATGAAGATGCTGTATTTTCTTTTAGAGTCTTGCCATGATCAGTCATGGAACAAAGGTTTTTCTTAACCCCAACCCCGCCCCGAGAAATTGACTAAGCCTCGACCACCTCACTATATAATTTATAGGTGATAAGGTGATGATCTGTCCACAAGTCAGTATAATAAAGACTCATATGTGTTTACAACTCCCAAACTGTGGTAAGGAACATCTAGTATATGAGGGAGTAAGCTTCCCTTCAGCAAGAGATATTTAGATTGAACATTTAGAAATATTTCTGGACTGATTTGGTAAGCATAGACAATCTCCTTCACTGAGAATGGTTTTAATAAATTGTTAAATTTCTATTGTGGGAAATGGTTTTCAAACAAAGAGACAGGAATTGACAGATGACCACCTGTGGAGATTTGGGATCCTGGTATTCTTAAGAGTTGATGTCTACGGCCTAAATCCTAGAAATCTTCCAAACTGGGATGCCTGGAAGGCAGATACTGGCTCTGGCTCTGGCTAAGCTTTCCTGTCCCTCTCTCAGGAAACAAGGGGCATAGGGACCTGGAAATTCCATGTGGTAATCTATATCTTAGCCAGAGAGGGAAGATGAGTAGTTATCAGATTGTCAGAATTTTGAGAAATACAGTACATCTTTGTTACTTATCACTGAAGCGCCAACAAAAGAAACAGCAAATTATTTTCAGAGAATCTGGGGAATGGAGGGCAAGTGGAGATATAATAAGTTTTTTGTATCTCTCCTTCCTTTGTGTGTCTGTCCCAGGTACCGCATGCACAAGTCCCGGATGTATAGCCAGTGTGTCCGAATGAGGCACCTCTCTCAAGAATTTGGATGGCTCCAGATCACTCCCCAGGAATTCCTGTGCATGAAGGCACTGCTGCTCTTCAGCATTAGTAAGTGCCTGGATGGGCAGGGGATCCCCTTGAGGGCCAAAGGGCTCAGAGGTGAATTGCTTTCTTCCTTTAAAGAGTTAATGAAGGCCAAGCCAACTCCAGGACACTATCTTTCTTCTTTCACTCTCCCTTATCACTCTCCCTTAGCATCCCTTTTCCTATCAGGGATATATTTTATGCCTAGAGACCAATTTCTTTGCTAGAAATCATCCTCCATTAGATCCTCACCCCCAGCCTGTCTTTGGAACGAGGAGTTTTTGCCTAGTTTTAGCAGGTCTCTGAATTTTTCCATAACTTCTATCATAGAAGCAGACAAGAAGGCCTCCCTGGTAGTGCCAGGAGTTAAGCACCACACTATGAAGCAATCCACAGCCTCTGCAGCACGAGTTCGATCCCCAGCTGGTCAGGGAGCAACTCAGCAGTGTATTTCAGTCAATCTGCCTGTTCCGTTCCCCACACTGTCTCTGGTGAATCCTCTCACCCCCCCACCATCTCTGGCTTGTACTCTAGTTCTTGTATGCATAAATAATTAAATCTTTAAAAAATAGAAACAGACAAGAATCAACTTATAATTTCCTATAGGACTGGAGGATTGCCTCCTGGAAAGAATTTACTCTTCTGACAACAGGAAGGATCTATGAAGCAAATCAGACAAGGTTTATTTGGCAGCTAAGGAAGCTTTCTTTAATGGCTATTCTAAACAGTGTGCTGCCTTAGCCTCTGTGAAGGAAGAAGGCAAATTTTGATACTCAAAGGTTAAATTGTGTAAGTCAGAGGTACTAAGAAATGTATAGATGAAAAGACAAGATAAAGGAAATGCGAGGAATATTTTATTTACTTGATACCCTTCAGAGTGAGTCCATCTAGTTTCCACTAAGACCTTCTTGGCACTAAAGCTTCCTTAGCTGCCCAGACTCAAACTTCAACTGACAGGAAGCCAAGTACATGGTTCCCTCCCTGTGGGCGTGGGGGTCAAGTCTGTGGTCAGAAAACTTGGTGCTTTGTCTAATACTCCCTCGTGGGCATGCTTCCCCTCCCCATTCTGTCTTCATCCCACATCAGTTCCAGTGGATGGGCTGAAAAATCAAAAATTCTTTGATGAACTTCGAATGAACTACATCAAGGAACTTGATCGTATCATTGCATGCAAGAGAAAAAATCCCACATCCTGCTCAAGGCGCTTCTACCAGCTCACCAAGCTCCTGGATTCTGTGCAGCCTGTAAGCAAATGATGGAGGGTGCTTTGTCAGGGAAAGAAGCTTGATAAAGCCAAGTGATAATATGTTCTTCAAGGGTCTGGCACCACCTGTTAGGAGGTACTTTCATCCCCCTCTAACTTTGAGTGTGGTCCAGGAAGAAAATGCAGTGGAGAAGAAAGGAACACAGGTCACAATGTCCCAGCTGGATGTTGTGAAAGAGGTGGAGGAGTTGAGAACAGAGCAGTTGGGACTCAGAGAAGTGGCTTAGTGCAGATAAGTTGTCTAGGCAGACAAAACAGTCCTGGATGTTTTTTTTTTTTTTTTTTTTTTCCTCTTCCTTGAGTCATGTGCATATGAGTTTGTGGTGTGTGTGGGGTGTGTGTGTGTGTGTGTGTGTGATTTATTCACCAGGGAAGAGGAACACCCTGTTCTGACACAGAGAGTTTGCAGTGGTATAAGAGATCTCTTGGGAGCCCTCAGTGACTCCCTAGAAATCATTTCGTGCACATGGGCACACATGCACACAACACACATACGCTCATATGGAAGGGGAAAGAAAACAGAGGTGGTGGGGCAGGGAAGGGGGGAGAGCCTGATAGAAGCCAATTCTTGCCAATCCTGTTTACTCCATCTGTTATTGTCTCTTTACAGATTGCAAGGGAGCTGCACCAGTTCACTTTTGACCTGCTAATTAAGTCCCACATGGTGAGCGTGGACTTTCCAGAAATGATGGCAGAGATCATTTCTGTGCAAGTGCCCAAGATCCTTTCTGGGAAAGTCAAGCCCATCTATTTCCACACCCAGTGAAGCTTTGGAAGCCCCTATTTCCCTACCCCACCCTCCCCCCCCCTTTCAAATATATGCCTGTTATAACTCTGCTCTACTTCTCTGCAGTGCCTTGAGAAATTTCCTCTATTGATGTCCAATTTGTCATGAAGTTGTTCCTGAGTTCTCTGCTGGGCTTTTTTCTCTTTTCCTACTTTCCCCCTCCTCCTGTGTGACCCTCCAATGGCACCTTCAAACTCTGCTCCCTGCCACGACTCTTACTGTGCTCTGAATGTTGTGTACTTCTTTAAATCTGTGATGATCCGCATGTGGCCCAGTGTCAACTTGTGCTTGTTTATAGCACTGTGCTGTGTGCCAGCCACACAAACGTTTACTCACCTAATGCCACAGGAAGTTTAGAGAGCTGAGACTATCTGGGAAAACAACAACAAAAAACCTTGCTAAGGATTTTTCCTCTTAAAAATATATAAAAACAAACAGAAATCCTCAAAGAGGGCCATGAATAGAATAAGGTGAAAATTGTAGGCCTATAGGGAGTCAGACTGCTTTTTTTGCAAACCCTCCCTCCCTGGGAGACTTTATTTTCTGCCAATGGCTATTGCCATTAGAGGGCAGGGTGACCCCAGAGCTGAGTTGAGGGAGAGGGTGGGGGAGGTTAGATTTAAGAGAGGACAAAGAGGGCAAATGGATCACCAGTACCTGCCCACAGCTTTGGCCCCTGAGGCTAAACTGTTCATCTACAGTGCAATTCATTGTACTGAAAATGTGCTTCTTGTTTGAAAACTTGTCTGTATGTGAATGCTCTCCCCCTCCCTTTTCTCTCACACCCTCCTCCTCCACCCAAAAATTGACTTTCAATAGTTTTTCTAAGAGCTTTGAACTGAATGTTCTCTTTAGCCAAAACTTGGCCACTTCCACTGACGAGTCAGACCAGTGAGAAGGAGAGAAGATATCTGACCCTTTGGAAAACCCCATCTGGATCCAGGTCTGATTTCTCATTTGTAGGCCAGGGAGGAGCTTGAGGCAAGAATCAGAAGGGAAAGGAACTGGTGGCTTGGCTGTTTTCCTGATTAGGACATTGAAGATTTCATCTATAGCTATCCCCACATTTAAAAGACCTAAATGTTTTCTGCCTGACTACATGCAGCTGCAAGCTACAATGCTACCTTCAGTGTCCTTTGGACTTGAACTTCCTGGACTGCATTTCAGCTATGGAGGTGAAGCTTGTTTACATCTTTGGGTATGTCCATAGACTCTACTAAGAGTACCCCCTCCCCACACCGAAGGTCAGCAAGACATTACTGACATTTATCTCTAGATGCCAGGACATTGAAGACTCTTGCAGATCATGTCATCAACCATTAGATCTCTAGAACCTTTAGACAAACTGAAAAGAAGGCCTCAACAGGATTGGACAAGCTGGACAATTTTGCCCTTGTCCTCCAGAGATAATACCTTTTCGCCAAGTAGAGAAATTTCCACTTCCTTTTTCAGAGCAGCTAAAAGAGTTACACATATCAAGGTTGAAGAGAAAACTCAATTACTAGTGTGGGAAGAATGAAGGCATTAAAACCAGAAATATTGTAAATGTTTCGCTTGCCACCCAGCATATCAACCTGAAGAAGTCATGAGGAGAAGAGAGAAGAAACCAAGGGGGAGACACAGATGGCTAAAGTCATGTCTCCAAAAGCAAATTTTAAAACCAGATGGGCATCCTCTGATGTGATTACTAATCATCCTCTTCTGCTGCTGATTCTGGGCTCTGACCATACTTATTTAGATTCCCCAACTTTGTTGCTGCCTCTCAGTCAGAGGGATACTGAAACATTGAGACTCCAAAACCATGGCCTCCTATAGAAAGGCTCCAATGGGCTGCCACCCATGAACTCAGGGTGTGTTCTTGGGCACACCTCTGTTCTGTTGATTTTGTTTCCCAATCCTGAATACAGAGGAAAATTCACCAACTTTGTCATCTTGACCTCCATCTCCATACTTAGCTCTTAACTTCATCTGCTAAACTCAAGAAATTAAGGGCCAGCCACCAAAGCTGCCTGTTTCAGTTGGTTCACTCTACTCATTGAGAAGATAATTTTGAGTAATGTCATATGGTCGACATGAATTTCCTCCTATGATTTCTGTGTTGATATTAATAGCCAGAAGAACTTGCAAAACAGCTTCTCTAAATAACAAGGAACAGGTGAATCCAAGATGGGTATTAACCAATCCAAGACTGCTGGAGATAACTAAAACTGACTGGTTCTCTTTCTAGGGTAGGCTGGACAATTTTTGGTTTTCTTTGATATGAATCATTTGACTTATGTAAGCTCACAGAATCACTTTTAGATGTTTAAACAGAAAAAAAAATCATTCACTTTTCATTGAAACTATAATAGGTTAAATTTTAATAGTTCCTTTGCATCTGTTTTGAAATGTTTTTCAGCATTTATGGTACGTGGATTCGATTATATCATTCTAATACCTCTACTTGTAAATACTAAAGGCTCTTCTTTACATTTTTCAGACTACCAAATTTTTCAACTTTATGGATTACCCAATCGTGACTCTTGTCTTTATGAATATGTTTTTCATTTGTGAAAGCTAAAATTCAGTGAAATAGCAGTGTAATTAAAAGCAGCAACAACTACATTACTCCGAATTTCCAAATGGCAAGACTAGGGGAAAATGCCCTGAATAATGCTTCAGGCCTATTGTTTTTATACTGGGTTTTCAGTGAGCAAAAATATTTTAGCTTGACGTTGTTCTCTCAGAGATAAAAGGAAGGTTTTTTTTTAACCATTGTTGTTCCAGTCAGTGTAATTGACAGAAGTCTCATTTTGCATGCACTGTGCTCTACAAAGAGACTTGATATGGATGGTACACTGTGCTCACCTGTGAAGGATCAGCTACCGACCAATTCACCTGGTGAGCTGGAAGATGAGGATCACTCACCAGACAAGTTGCAAGGACTATCTCCAGAGGGGTTTGTAGTGTTTCATGGCTTGGTGAGTGAGGAAGAGAGAAAGAAGCACCAGGGAAAGGACCCGTATGTGCTGGGCAGCACATAGCTGCCAGGGTCACAAACTCTGTGGTCAAAGAAAAGAGTCATGTGGCCATTTCAGCTCTTGTTCATTGGGCAACTCTCCCGGGCCTGACCTCTGAGCTGAAATGAGTGATGGGTTATTTGTTTCATAGTTTTTCTATGCCACAGACAGTATCATTGTTTTTGGAGAGTTGTTAATATTTTTAATAAGAAAGGGGTTTTTGGAGGAGTTCTGCCATATATCTTAAAAAAAGAAAATCAGTAATACATATATTTTTCTGTATTTTCACCAGCACTAAAAAAGGGGAAAAAAGTTTTTCTCTGTCCTTTGGGTAGTTGCTGATATACGCATATATAGTAAGAAGTATTCTATTTGTACTTTAAGAGAAAATAGACCTACCACCCACATGATACGGATACTACACAAGTGACCTAACTTACATGTTCAAGTAGCTTTTAAGTGTTTGTTTCTTTAGGCACAGCACAGACGTGGCCTTGCCCTATTTTTGCCCCTGATACACAGCAGGGCATATAAAACCCAAGTCACTCCCTCTACCCCTTCCTATCCCTCTGCAAGGGCTTCACTTTCTGAGACTCTCCCACATAGCCCAGTAACTACTATTGCATGGTCCCTGCATGACCCTGAGAAAAGAAGAGGCTGACTAATTACCCTGTGCCACTTGCCCAGGTGAGAGGGCAGTGGGCTATGGGAGTGGTCTTCATGTTTGACCCATGTAGAAAGTCATGGGAACAAGGAATACTAAAGCACAGGATCAAATCCTAATCTTAAAGTCAAAAGAAGTAATTTAGCATGTGCAATTTCTTGTAAAAGGAAGTTTCTACCCCTGCTGCCTTTTATAGGCAGGTTTGTTCTCACCACTAATCTCTTTGAACATCTTTGAAAGCAGTTAAAAAAAAAGACAAAGAGATGAAAGCATCATATTATGTAACCAAAGATTACACTCTATCTGCTAAGATACCAAAATTTTTAAGGGCAGGGAGGGAGGGAGAATTAGTGCCTCTTCAGTAAGCTAGCCAAAGACGGACTAAAGGACTGCTGGTGACTGACTCCTAAGAGTTCTGTGCCCACCCCCAACCACAATATACTTGTTTAGGAGAGTGGAAGATAATTTTGGAAAAAAAATGGGATTATGGGTTCCTTCACAAAATGATTTTATAGGCAAAATTAGCTTTCTTTTTCTCTATTAGTTGCTCAAAAAATTCTTAAAGCTCCTTCAATGCATGGTTTGAAATGGAGCTGTCTTGGTCACTGTGTTTGCTAATGCCCATGTTGGCTTATCTGAAGGTAATAATTGAGCCCTTGCTGAGGAGAGCATTTAAAGGATAAGATTTTGCACTAGAGGGACAACAGACAGTAATTCTCATTTCTGACCACTTTGGACAGCCCAACAAGTTCTCGGTGGTTTAAGTTAGACAGTTGAAATACATTATAAATGAGCATTTGTATCCATGTTTTAAAATTGAATTATATATATATATATATATATATATATATATAATTGAATTATATATATAAAATGTGTCCTGATAGCTTTACCTTTTGCTGCACCTTTATATTTTGTTCCAGATAATAGTTCATAACTGTGTACTTGTACTATGAAAAAGGCTGCAGTTACATATGGAAGCTCTCTCAGAGTAGAAAAGATCCCTGGGTTGCTCAGATAACTAAGACATCTCTGCCCCTATTGGGTCCTAACCCAGAGGCCTTAGGATCAGAGGGGGGAAATGTAGGGTATGTGATGTATTGCACTTTACTAGGCCAAGGCAGATGAATGTGTGAAGAGTGGTGAAGATGATTGGAACTGCCTGGGATTTACCCTAAGGAAGATCTTCACTTGGGCTCAACGGGCCACTTAGATGATTAGCCAGTGACCCCCTAAAGGGACCTGAACAGTTGGAAAAAGGAAGGGCATTCTTTGTTCTTCACTATTTTTTGTAAAAGAAAGGCAGTTTCATGCATTTGGGAACCTGGAGCAAAATGCTCCATATTTCACACAATTCACTTACCTGCAATTGAGGTGCTCTTGCTACTGTTGTCTGTGTGCTCTAATTCTGGTTTTTGATATGTTCTATAAAGACTGACAATAAAAATATGGTTTTATTTGTTAAAAAATTTTAAATGCACTAGATGTTGTATTTCTAGATTCATCTCTGCCCATAGGTAGGGGTATTTTTCTTCAAGTAAGAGATTAACACTGGGGTCTGTTGCCCAGAGCCTCCCAAACCTCAACCATTTCTAGGTGAAGGCAGAAATCTACATTAGCCACTCCTCTTCAGATACTTCAGATGAAGAAACAAACCAATTGAAATGTCCCTCCCCAAAAAAGTGGTAAGTTTTTAAATTTAGCAGCTAGACAAATAAATGGAAAAAATAGCCTTTGACTCTGTATCGATTTGTCTCCATTTGATTTGGCAAGAAGTCAATAATATGTATTGATTGATTTCCAACCACAATTCAGTATAGCACGGGTACTGATTCCCTTCATTTTCCCACTTATTTCAGCCTTTTATGGAATTAGATGAAAAACTATGGACAGAGAGGCCCTTGTGGCCTAAAATAGTTCCCACATATGCTACTTAGCAAGGTTATCATGCAGATTCCATTGGCTATTGAAGACTGGAACACACATACCCCAAAGGAAAGATAATTCTGAAATGTTGCTGCTTCTCTGGTGGTGCCCTCCCTGGCTTTTGCTTCCCATTTTGGGACTCTGTTCCCTGCAAAGCAGACAGGCCAGGGCTGCAGTCTCTTCCAACCTTAGCCCCTGGTGCTAATTGTCCTGCAGTGAAATGTCTGTGGGGTTGTCCCATCCCACAAGCCACTCAGGTGCTGAAGAGTAGCCACCATTATATGACCCAAACTAAGCAAGAATATACTCAGTGACACCTTTCTCCTTTCCCCTAGACTGGAACATTGATTCGGGAGTGCTTTGCATATGACATTCTTATTCTGTCCTTGAGATTAATTTGGCAGCAAGAGGGAGCAGACAATGTAACCAGATGTAAGAATTAATTTTTCAGGTTGAAGAAAAACTAGAGAAATAGACAAAAAAAGAATGCTTCATATAAATATTTTTTAAAACAAACATCGCTTTTGCTTGAAAATTCTTTTTGTGGGGCTTCTGTTCTCACAGGGGTACTTGGCCTCCACTGAGCAGCAGGACCAGCCTCAAGCTCTAATGTTCTGTTATCTTTTGTAATCTTGGAATCTTTTGTTGTTCTAAATACAATTAAAAATTGCAGAAACTTGTTTGTTGGAATACATATGTGGCTCTTGGTTTGTCTGTCGCATTTTCAAAAATGTCATATAAAATAGTAGCTTGCCAGCTAAAACTTGGCTACAACCCCTGTTTGTGGCTGCAGGCTCAAGTTTTCATTAACAACGAGGTCCAAGAAAAGCTGCTAATGTCTTCTTATCATCATTGCTAATTTGTTAAAACAATCTAAAATATCAAATGAATGTCATCAGAGTTATTTTAAATTTTGTTAAAGATTCATTTATGTATGCATAGAAAAACTGGGGTAAAGGCCAGAAGTGGGGGAAGGGAGGAGAGGATTCACCAGAGACAGAATGAGGACCAGAACAAGCAGACTGACTGAAATACACTGCTGAGGGGAGCAGTGGGCGAGACAGTGGAGGTCTGCTGCGCCATGTGGGTAGCTCCCTGGCCGGTCAGGGATTGAACTCATGTTGCAGTGGCTGTGGATAGCTTCATAGCCCTGAGACCCAACCCCTTGTGCCACTAGGGAGGCCCCCGAATTCTTTTAATTAGATTTTTTGGGCCTTGTGGAAATTTACGCTCCTTTTTTCATATATTTTTCATGTAAATATATACATTTCAAATATATTTCATACAAATTTCACATTTTTAATAATCTTTGCACAGATGTTGTATATTGGCTCTGTTGTAGCTTTGGCATAGGTCAATCTGGAACCATCAAAATATCAAAGGGTTTGGGCTAGAAAGCACAGATAGATACCCATTACATACTCTAATCAAAAAACACTGAGCTTGTCAATCAGGGGAAAGTCACAAAATACTCAGCTATTCACCTACATCCTCATATAGCCTAAAACGGGGCTTCACTTCCCAGTCCTTGCCAAATTTCGGTAAGTAATTGGCACATTCACATCCTGATTTTTAGGGACCATATTGTACTTGATCTCCCAGGTAAGATTCATGCCAGCTATTTTTTTTTTTCAAAAGTTCAAACAAGGCTTATCCTGTCTACTATCAGTGTGAATGCTTATGAGATCTCAAATTTAAATTCTGGGCTTGAGGTAAAAGCTATCAGTGAGATGGGACAGATATTTCAAGGAGTGATACAAATGAGAAAGGAAATTCTCTATGCCTTAGTGTCCACACCTGGAATAGGGGTTTTCAAAGTTCCTCTTTACTGGGTTACATTGGAGAAAAAGTGAGACTGTATGGCCCATCTGGGGACATATTAATCTGGTTTTGCTCTCTATTAAAGTGCCAGGACACCTTGCGAGGAATTCCACATTGAACCGTGTTTGTCATTGATCACTATAGTGGTCAGATGTGACCTCAGAGTGAACGGATTTCTCAATTTTTTCCAAGAACAGTGCTTGGAGGGCAGAAGGAAACAATTATTGGGATCTAAGTAAGATAGAATATGTATACTTTTAGGCTATGTGTATTAATTGAAGCCTGCCTGCAGAAGAGCCCCTTTGATCACCGTCACTGAGCTTCACTCCTCTTAATACCTAACAGATCGTGATCTACTTGGTTTCATTTACCACTCAGCTCCCATCTAAAGTGACTATGGTTGGCACCCACTATATATTTTCCAAGGAGAAGCAAAGCACAGAGGTTGGGCACACAGAATACCTAGTGAGTGGAAAAGAGCCTAGAGACAAGAGTCTTATATATGACTTGCTCAAATATTCTCATATATTAAAATTAGTGTGTCAGGAGATATGAAATGGGACTAGATTAAATGGAAAGCCCCTTCTGAAGTGTATTCTATGATTGTCACAAACTACAGCAATACCTTTGTCAGTTATGGCATAAGGGAGATAAGAAAGAACATTTTATTATACCTAGAACACAATTTTAGAACTAGAATCTCCCATTTTGTACTCAACAAACATTTGCCAAACCTATGGCAGGGTAGGAATGGGGGCAGAGGTGTATCAGGATCAGAAGAACAATGAGTCCCGTATAATAGATTGTCACTCTTTGATGGTTGAGGAAAGGGCTCAGAAGAAATTTGTTTACCAGTTAGATGATCTCATAAATAACAAAGATAAATCTGAGTTAAACCGCAGCCCACATTTTTAGTGAGTTTATAGTCTGTTAAATACCTCAATACAGGCCAGTCTAGAACTTCAACCTGTCACATTCACCCCAGCCCTCCCATACCCAGCACTCTGACAAGATTGGACTGACCTTTGATTTATAATTGCTCCCTTTTAGAACTAGACAGATCTTAGCACCTAAGCCAAACTTCTCATCTTCACATGAGGTAGTCAAATAAAAAATAAACTCGTTGAATGTTATTGTTATGCTAGGGACTAACACTTGCTTAGCGTACCACTCCTCCATGTGCCTGTAGGCAGCATGCCAAGGTGGTACAGGGCACTTGAGAATTTTTACCATTCCCTTACACATTGATTCAGAGCCCTAGTGTGAAGTTTTCACTTCCTGTATGTGGTCCCCATATATACAGCCCAGGGATCTCTATTCCAACCGCAGCACCTACTTCACAAACCACCCAATCCCAGAAGTTTTCTTCATACCACTGCAGGGTAGGGTGAGAGGAGAAAAATACTGGGGGACGCTGGAGTAGGGACTAAAGAAGTAATGAGAAAAATCTAAAGGACACACTGAAGTATGAAAACAGTTTTCTGAGTTAATAGGTAGGTGCAGGTGACTCAAATACTCAGACTTCTGTCCCCATATTTTCAGGTCACCCAATGTCCTCTTCTGTCAACTTTCCCAGAGTACTTCAAGCAAGGAGCATATGACTTGGGACACTTTATCCAGCTGCCAACCAGCAAAATTGTGCCAAGAAAGCTGACTTAAATCAGACCATGTGGACAATTCTCCCCCCAATACCCATTGGCACATGAAACCTCACACCATAAAACAGGTCAGCAGAGCAGGCAGATGCTGAGAGAAGTATATTGCCTGATATTTGGGCAATGGCTTGTCTGCAAAGGAAGCAGCTCCTTGTACACTGGTGTTTGTACACAGTGCTGAATGGATAACTTCTGGTTTTGACTAACATAGGAGAATCCCACCACCTCAAGAGGCCAGAGGGACCTTTCACATGAGTATAATATCCAATCATACCATCTTTCATTTATTTTTTTTTTCATTTAATTAACAACTATTTGTGCAACCACTATGTACCCTATATTGGAGCAAGATAGACATAATCTTGTCCTTGTAGAACTCCCAGTCTTTGTCTGTGGGCAAAGGTTCTGTT